GGGACCAGAAGGGTTTGGGGGAGACACTGTTTCCCCTAGCGCCCCCTGGCATAACAAGGAATAATGGACACAAATTGGAGTGTAGGTTTAGATTAGACATCTGCAAGAACTACTTCACAGTTAGGGCGGCTAGGAGCTGGAACCAGCTTCCAAGGGAAGTGGTGATGGCTCCTGCCCTGGGGGTCTTTAAGAAGAGGCTTGATGCCTACCTGGCTGGACTCATTTGAGTCCAGTTTTTCTCCCACCCAGGCGGGGGGGTCGGTCTTGAAGTCATCTACATGGTCCCTTCCGACCCTACTTCTATGATTCTATGAAAAGGCAGAGAGATGTACACACACGACCTAGTCAGTACTCTCCTAGGCCAGCACCCAGAACATTTCTCCCTTGTATTTTCTTTAGCTTTGAGGGGGGAATGCAGGAGTCCCTATGAACTTCCCAAAACAGCCATGAAGAGGTTCACCTCAATCAGCACTCAGCTCCGGGCCAGGCCACAGAAGACAAGGGCCCACACAAAGATCTCCAAGAGATGCAAGGGCCCTTGCACTTTACCCTGAATCTTAATAATCCTCAGAAGAAACCCATGCCTGGAACACTGTTGTACTACATTAGAGCTGAGTTTAACCAAATAAGCATGGTTCCTTGCAGCATCTCAACTAATATCTGGTTTTCAGTCTCAAAAGCAAATGGAATGAATGAAGCAGCCAGTTACTGCCTATGGTCAGGTTGGGCTGATACAACCAAATGTGTCCTCTGCCAAACTGTTCTATGCACAACTCAAACTTTTTTTTATAGCTCAGAAAGAACCATAATAACCACGCTCAGCTTCTATGTAGCATTGGCCTACAACCAGGCCTCCATAATCAGGCAATCATCCTGCTATTTTTCAGTTGACACCTGCAGAAACATGTAACATGTTTACATAGAACATTGTCATAGTCAGGGAAAAAGCTATTTTTCTTAAAACAGAACCTGAAAATGTGAGGTTGACTTACACATAAGGCTGACTTAAAGCCAGAACAATACAGAGTGCCGATTTAGTTAAACTAGCCCACACTTCTTTTTCTTCCTATCCCTACCAGATAAACCCAGCTTATACTGCTTTAGCTGGCTATCATGTGATTCTAAACAGATGTACTTAATCGGCATACACAAGTTACACTGAGATAACTAGAGCAATGCAATGTAAACTGAGGCAACTTGTGTGTGCTGACTAGTCCTCTCTCAGGACAGCACCTGACAGCTATGTTCCTAAGGAACTTATCTGCAGCCAGGTTAACCCAAGCACTCCTAGGATAGACAGTCTATTCTCCAGAAGGGGGATGCTGGCCCATCAGGTTCCCCTTCAATCCTGCAGCAAGAGTACCATTCACATGTGCGGACCTCCAAAGCTCCTCTCCCAGAAAAAGAAATGGGAGCCAGTGTGCAAAACATGAAAATCCAGAGGGTGGGCAGCAGACAAACTAGAGAGGCTGAACTTTCTGCACACGCCAGCACTGAGGCACACACAATTAAGACGAATAAATGGAAGAGGAGTGCAGCAAGTCTGAACTGTTCCTCTTACCACAAACTGCATCTCTGCCAAAAGCCTGTTAGTGCCTCTGAACAGGCACATAACCGCAACAAGAAAACTGAATAAAGATATCAAAGGAAGTATGAAAATCCCTAGTGGGAAAAACAGATGCCCAGCCAAGTTCATGGTGAGGAGAGCACTGGAGGGGTTTGCAACCTTGAGCACACGGATGAAGAAGGCAAAAACACAACATTGCCAAGCTTGTGGTGCTTGCTGGGAAGACGCACACAGCTCCACATAACCCATCATGCTCACCCCATTTTCCTGGGTTGTCCACCCCACCCCACTCCCAATCACAGGTAGTGCCACATCCACACAAACCAACAGTTCACCAACGAGCACTGCTATAGCTGGTGCCTCCTTGTTCTGGCAATGCTGGGAGCCAGGTCACTTGCACATGTAACCCGGGCGGTACTCCAAGAGGCACCCCCACTCCAATTGAAGGGATCAAAGCAGGTGCACACATGCTGTGGGAGGTGTAGGGACTCTCCTCCCCCTATAGAGCAGAGCCAGACCACCAGTGGGGACTTACCCATATACCTTTTAATACTGGGAACATAACAGGCATAAAGCAGAGGGTATAGTGGACACTACAATGCCCCAAGGGGGCAGGATTCAACAAAGATTAGACACTTACAGTCACTGACAAACAACAGGGTTAACAAAATATAAAACACAAACAGCAGAACAAACAATACAGGCTGGTGAAATATAAAAAGGCACAAAATGCAAAATGTCAAATGACAAGGAAATATAGAGCCTTGATACCTGGAGGAGGAAAACACAACGGTCCCTTTCCACTGCAAGAAGATTTACTTCTTGTTATCTCACTCACCCCAAGTCACCTCAGCTGGGACTTGAATCCAAATCTCCCATGTAGTAGGCAGGAACACTGCCACACAGCCACCACAGCCGGCACTGCTCCAGCCTGCTAGGGGTCTTGACCTTCCCGGAGCCCCGGCCTCACATTGAACTGCCTGGCCTCTGATTGGAGGAGCTGGAAGCAGAGCTGGGAACCTCTCAGGTCGCTGCTCAGATCCTTCCTGGAGCGGGGGGAGCCTCTCCTGCTGGCTGCAGCCTCTCCTTGGGGATCCTGGAGCCCAGTGGGGAGCCTCTCCTGCTGGCCGCACACCACACTGCTGAGGGTCCCACTGCTGCCTGCAGGTCCTGCTCTTTCAGGCTTTTCCAGGGCACTGCTTCTGCCCTGCTGGCCCAGCTCTTGCCAGCTCTGTGAAGCTCCTTCCTTGTTGTCCCTCACTGGTCTCTCCCCTAAGTCATCCCACGCTGCCCTTTTTATCCCCCTCCAGGTGACCCAAGGGGCCAATTGGGACATGGGGGGGGAGGGGGAGGGGTCTCTGGGGCCTGATTGGTGAGGAAAGGGAATCCCAAGTCCTCCAATCATCTTTTGCCCTTTCAAAACCCCTGGGCTAGGTCACTGCCAGCTAGCCCATCACACACACATCCATCATCTGTGTCAGCGCCTGAGCCAAGAGCCCTGTGGGGCAGGGATGACTCATTCCACAGTCTGAGTGCAGCCAGGCACAATGCTAGTGCTTAATGACTGTTAAGGGACTTCCATCATCCCAGCCAGGGGGCTGATTTGGGTAGGGGCAATATGTTCCTTCAAACTTTTGACAGACAGACACAGACAGACAGACAGACAGAGACAGTATGTGTGTGTGCACGCGCACGTACACCATATTCTTCTCTCCTTTGTCTTCCTCACTCAGAGAAGAGGGGGTATCACTGCTGGGGGAGCCTGAGGTCACTGCACAGTACAGCAGCACTACTTCCCTGCTCCCCACTCAGCAGCTATTGAGATACAATGGGAAGGGGAAAATAGGCCTGCATGGCCTTATGCTTGCTTATTGTTCCTCAGTGTGCTTTGTGTCCTGTCACAATTGTGGTGAGGATGCAGTTCATGTGCCATCAAACAGCTGGATGTGTCCTCAACCCCTGACTCGCAGGACACATCCAGTCCCTGATGCCATGCTGTTCAACCTGCAGGGCTCCACACGGATCCAGGGGGAGCCCTGTGGGTTGTGCGCCTGCATGCTAGATTGGGAACACAGGACAGAGCAGGGCTCGATCCTGGTGTGTGGGGGCCAGATGGGGGTGCTGGAACTGCAGAGCCTGATCCTAGCCAGGCAGGGGTGGTGTGCCCCCATGCCATCTCTGTCCAGGCAGAATCAGGCCCCAGGGCCTCGCACTGCCTCTGGCTGGCCCCCACCCAGCCAGGATTGGGCTCCAGGAGGCTGTGATGCAGGGCACTGGAGCCCAATCCCAGCACACAGGGGTGGCTGGGGCCCAATCTGCACTGTGGACCACCCCATACCATCCATGTGGCCTGAGGGGCCAAAAGTATGAGCATCACTAACAAGTACTCCTGGGTACTTTATGTGGTACTCCTAGTTCTGTATTCTATTGCAAAGTAGTTCAGTGGTTGGAAGGTACTTTCTTTACAGCACCTTCAGGGGTCTAGCCTTATTTCCTGCTTACAACTAATAAGGTAGTTCCTGGAGGTAAGGGTCCCAGGTACTGTAACAATGGGCACCTTCCAAGTTGGTTGGGCTATGCTCTCTTTAGACTCTCCAGAGAACAGACTCCAAGCTTTGCTTCCATCTTAACAGCTAGCACAGTGCTGCTCAGGTGAACCCTCACTGTGTAGCTCCCCCAGGGAGACCCTAGGTCCACATCTCATCAAAATCACCCTTGGAGATGCCAGCTGTTTTGGTTTGCCCCATGTCTAGCTGGTGTGGACCCTATCCAGTCCCCTAAGCACCTGAGAAAGCTTCTCCCTAGGAAAGGCACAGGGTACGCTCACTAGCCTTACTCCAGTGGTGCTGAGGATAGCAGGAGAGCTCTCCAGAGGGTGCATTTGTTTTTCCTCTGTAAGTGGCACTAAGCGGGCACTTCTCTGGCACCAGTGTGAATTACTACTGGACACAGCCTGGGGGGCAATAAAGCAAGACACAATACTTCTCCCTAAACACCACAGGACTCCCTTAGAGGCTTGAAAGAGTCCAACCATCAGCCATGCTCTTTTTCATTCACTCAAAGGCAGCACTGGGCAGGCTGACATTCCTCCCAGGAAACAGATGTCTCTGGCCCAGGAAGTTCAGAGTGCTGGTCAGCAGCTGCCTGGGCAGTGGCAGGTCCCACTGTAAGGATCCTGAGTTCCTCCCATCACTTATAACAACTCTTTCTGGCTTTATTTCACAGAACCAGCCCACATGATGCCCCTCCAGTTCCAGAGCTCTTGGAGTTTCAAGGGGAACACAAAGTCTGAGCCCCTGCCCACAGCAGACAGAAGCCAGTCTTTCTGAGATCTCCACAACAAACCAAGCCAAGTCTTGTCCTGTCCATTCCCTCCCTCATTCCTCAAGCCCTTTGCCACTAAATGGGAAAGGGGTAGGGGATTTCCCCCTGGCAAACACTAGAAGTAGCTCCACAGAGCCTCTCACCTCCCGAACGTTCCTCGATCCTGACTCCCTGAAGGAAGGTTTGCAGCGGAAATTTATCTGCAGATTTAATGCACACAAGCAAGGCATCAGTGAAAGCATCATCTGAAGGGAACCCACTAAGGTCTAGTTTGATGTGGCAGGTCCTGGGGCTTCCTAGGACAGGTGCTGCTTATTGGAGATGCCCCAACTCACTCCCCAGTAAAAGAACTTGCACTAGGGGACTAAAGTGTACAGAGACCTCCAAGCAGTCTGCTGCCTTCTGAAGGGGCAGTGGAGTGGGGTATCTCCCTCATAGGACAGTACATAGCTCCCAGTAACTGCAGCATTCAGAGCTCATGCCAGAGAGCAGGCTGACCACAGAGGGGCTGCCCCAGCTTTTCAGATCCAAAAACAGGCTGTAGTGTGTTTTACTCACTTTCTCCAGCTGCTCTATGCAGGGCGTGTGCACCACAATCTTGCAGGCTGCGCATTTGCGCCTGGACAGAGGCTTTTGCTGGGACAGACAGAAAAAAAAAGAGCTAGCCATTCATACTGCTACTGATTTACCAGTCAGGAAACCTGAGATCTCCACCCCATGCCCTGGGGGAGCTCCCAAGCATGAACACCTCCATGTTCTGCAGGAGGGGAAGCCAGATGGAGGAATGAGCATGGACCTGAACTCACAGTAGGCAAGAGCCTCCCCTGGTCTAAATAGCCTTCTTCCACCAACCTGCCTCAGCCTTGCCCTGAAGCAGCCTCCTCTGTGGCAAAAGGGGAGGAGACACCCCGCTGGCCAGCCAATCCTACGCATCTCCCAAAACTGCCACAAGGGTCCAATTAGCACTACCTGGCAATGCCCACTGGGAACAGGTTGACACCTCAGGCTCATGGTATATGAGCCAATGATCAGCTACTGGGGAGATAAGATCTCTACCCCAGCACCCTGGGCTGAATCCGACCTGAATGCAGAGTGAAGCAACATGTTATACTTAGTCCATGCCAAATCTCTGGAATGATAAACAGTGTTAAAGCTAGAATATGCTGTGAGCCTTTGCACGTTAAGGATTAATATCACCGTTTGCCTGCACAGTTCTGACTCACCCCTGGAGGGTTGGCCAGAGCCAGAACATCTAAGTTCTATCCCTGCTGCTGGGGGAGGATGTGCAAGGGGGGCTTGGAGCAGTGCATCCTGGGATGCTGGAAGACTAACTTGCTCATTTTACTGCTGTGAAGCTACCCTAACCTTAGCAACCCAGAGTTAACCCTCACCTGGACTGGTATAATTTTGAGATACTCAGGGGCACTTAGCACAAGTTCATGAACTTTAACATGCAAATGCTTATGTTTTAAGTGCTCTTAGTATGGTCCAAATGGAATGTGCAACTTCACCCTCAGAGAGGTGTGCCCCTGTGGGCAGCCCAGCTTCTGAGGTCACAGAAGTGGATGCCTGGAGTTCCATTTCCTGGCTCGCTCTGTTGTTGTGAGGTCCTTCAGAAGAAACTGTGGAACCAAGTTCCTTTTTCAGGGTGTCTGAGATCACAGGAGCCCCTCCCAGTAAACACTTCTGCCTGATAAAGCCACCCCTAACAGATTGCAAAAGGCAACACACCTGCTATGAAGTTCCAGCCCTGATGCAGCCTCAGCATCAGGCAAAGTCTGGAGGAGACCACACTCCCTCTCCCACAAGCATTAGTCTTTTCTTTGCTCAACCCTCAATTGCATCTAGTCCTAAACTGCTGTGCAGAGAGGGATTCCAGGGGTCTCCACTAGGTGGCACTAAGTCTCCTCCCCAAAGGAAACAGGGCTGACCACTGGTTACCTGAGGCTAACTTACCAGCATCTTGGCCACACAGTTCTGTTCCCCCACGTAGCAGAAATCCCCAGACGCATTGGTCTCGAACCAGATGTGCTCCCCATAGACTGCAGTCTCCTGAAAGGCATAAGACAATACTGTCCTGAGGGAGGAGCACTGTGCTGATCTCAGGGACTGAAAGGGTCCCAACACTGCTCAGGACCCACTGTCTTCAAGGCATCCTGCTTGTGACAGTCAGATGTAAAAGCCTAAGGATCAGGCACTGTGATCGTAGGGGGCACGGAGACCCCAACTTTCAGAAAGAAATCAAAACCCTCTCAGAGCTCACAACTGGCCCAGATATAGCAAAGCCCCAGGAGAGCGTGTAATCTCTCTCTGAAGACTGAGGCTAAGACCACTCCATACAGCAGTTTGCATGATTTAATGCAGCCTGTCTGCAAAGTGTCCCAGACAATGTGGCTCCTGGAAGAGGGCACTGCTGGGCAAACACACCTCACTGCCAGGGACCGCCCTGTTCTCCCTTTAGGGGCTGGTGCACTGCTGTATCCCACTTAGGGTGCTTGTACACATAACGAAAATTGGTTGTTTTTGTGTTTTAATTGTGTCACACTGTACACGTGCAGGGTTTTTTTAATGATTTAAATGAGTTTGCTGTGTTGCAAGTAGTTTAGTTTGCAACGTAGCTATTTGTAACGTTGCAGCCTCAGGCTGCCAGCAGGTGGATGCTGCCTCAGCTTGGGCTCAGGGCATCAGGGAACAGCTGAATTGCACTGGGTGCTGCCCATGAGCTGAAGCAGCACCCACCCACTAGCCACCCACCCAAATGGCTCCAGGGGAAAGGCCCGGGGCTCCCCATAGCTCAGGGCCCACCAGCAGCTTGCCCCCTGGATGCAAGAGAAGCAGGCAGGCTCCGTGCTGCAGGGGAGCCTGGTCCTTCCCTCCACAGCAGTGACGCCCCCCAGAGCCACTCAGGCAGGGTGCTAACTGTGTGGGTGCTGCCCTAGCTTGTAGGCAGCACTCACTGGGTCCAACTCTTCCCCAAACCCATGTGCTGGAATCCTGCTGGGCACTGCTCCCCATGTGGGTTCGAGGAACAGCTGGATCTGGCAGGTGCTGCCTGCAAGCTTGAGCAGCACCCATTAATCTAGCACCCCCAGGGAGTGCCGCCGCCGCAAAGAGAAGGCCCAGGCCCGGCCCAGGCCCAGCCCCCCCCCCGAAAGCTCAGGGGCTGCATGTCCCAGTGGTAGCTCACATGGGCAAGCTCCACTGAAGAGAAAAAAAAAGTGGCAAGGGGCCTGATCCTTTTTCCCTGTGAAGCCTGCTCGCCTCTCCTGTGGCTGCAGGGTGAGCGAGCAGCTGGTGGGCCCTGAATTGTGGGGGGCATCAGACTTTCCCTCCATAGTGGTAGCACCCATCCAGTAGCAGCCCACTCAGGCTGCTCAGCCTGCTGGCAGCTTGTCCCCTGCAGCCACAGGGCCTATAGGAAGGGAATAAAAAGGATTGGGCCCCTCACCGTAACAGTGATGGAAACCCCTAAATTGAAATGGTATAAAAGTGGCCTTAGTGCCAATTCGAAATGGCCAGCTCTCTTCACAGAGCAATCAATTCACCCTCTGACTGCTTCTCCTCCTTTTGGAACCAGTTCTACAGCACCCAGGTGAGCTCACTGCTTCTGAACACAATTCCAATAGGACTGAGTACCCCAGAGCACAGCATGTGTAGAGAGGCTGTCCCCTTCCTGCTCCAGGATAGGAGAACTCAAAAGGACAAGGCCTGAAACCAGCTTGAAGCTGCCTGTGCAAAGGGGCGTGTACATCTCAGGTGAGGAGAAAGTGGTGACTTCCATTCCCTGCTCTAGAAGCCAATTTCCACTCTCCAAGTAGTCACACCTGTCTTCTGGGGAAATGAGCATGCTGCCCCATTTTTCCTGGCACCCAAGGGCTGGTAGCTAGTGAGGCTACGAATGTGCCAAAACAGAAGCCACCAGCACTGACTCATGTCCCTCCTGCTCTCCTCACTGGCAAGGCCATAAACCTAATGCAGTAACACAGAACCTCAATCAACTGCAAGCAACATGAAACACAACTTACGCTCCAGTCCACAGTGTTGCGGATCTGCCTCTCTGGGTCACTCCTCAACGCAAGTGCGGGGCTTGGCTGTGCGACCATGTGTTGGAGGCCAGACTTGGCTATGGCTTTCCTGGAAGACAAGGGAAGGGTGGCTGTAACAGTGCATCAGAAGGTGGACTTGTGTAAGGTACTGCATGGATCCTCAGTTGGGTAAGCAATGCTGGTGGTGGATGGGGTAGAGCATTAGCCCTTAGCACTACTCCCAGCAGAGGGCCCAGAAACGATGCTGAGTACCCTGGAATTAGAGGCTGGACAATACCACCCTCCCCAGCCACTCATCAGCACAGGGTTTGCTGAAGGTGCTGGGATCTGGAAGCCCATGTGGAACCCTTTCCCAACCATACACCTGTGGCTTTCTTCTTCCCTCTAGTGCTGGCTGTCACAGGACGCAGCTTATGGATCTGCTGGAGGCTTTAAGCCAGGTGTATCGAAGTCATCTGGTCTCTCAGGCTGGGTGAGTGGTGCAAGGCTGGTCCATGGGCTGGCCCATGGGCTGGATATGGCCCAAAGAACCCTCACCACAGTGCTGCTCTGGGACCTGCGCCGCACTCAGTGCCCACTCTAGCCAGTTTGGGGCAGGCACCTCATGCAGCGCAGTACTGGACTGGCTGGGGCAGGCACTATGTGCAGCGTGTGCCCTGGGCTGGTTGGTACATGTGAGACCAGCCCAGGTCCTGCATGCAAGACCCAGGGGCAGCACCAGGGGCTGGATGATGGGGCTCTGTGGGCCAGATCCAGCCCATAGGCCATATCTTTGACACCCCTGCTTTAAGTTAACAAAGCTGGCATTAGCACAGACAACAGAGAACCCAGCCTCTAGATCCAGAGGTGTTGGATTAGTCCCAAAGCTGACTATCCACCACCTATGATGCCTTCCACTATAAAGCTAGGAATCTTAGACTTGCCCCAGCAGGAGAAGCCAGGAAGCTCCCAGGAGTGAAGACTCAGACACCTTGGGACATCACCTCACTTGAGTGTCACATGTTGGTGGAGAATCAAGAGCCAGAAGAAGTTGGGTGGCTGCCTGTAGGCCCTGGCTCATAAGGGGCTTTCTGCCTGCAGGTCAGGTGCTTGAGGGCAGTTACCTTCTTGAGGCTGAGGCAGCACCTGGGTAGAGCAGGGCAGCTGCTCAGTTGAGGCCAAGAACATGACACAGGGTTGGAGTTGTTCAGCCATGGGAGCGCCATTCCCATCAGCTGTGGGGAGAAGCACTGTGCAGCCACATGGGCCCTGCGCAGCAAGTCAGCTCCAGACTCTAGCCATATCCATATCCCTCTCCCAGCTCAGAAGCATTTTTCTCTCTCCATCAAATGCCCTCCTCTAATCACCAGTTCACACCCCTCAGTCTCTGGCTTTGGTGCAAGGGGTGGACAAAAACCTGTCTCCTCTGGCCTCTGACTCTCAGTTCAGAAAGAGGGAAAAGGAGATGTCAGTTCCTTGGCCTCTGCTTGGTCATAGCCAATCTCCAAAATGTTGCATCCACAAATGCACTGAGAGCTGAAAGGACTGAGCACAGGGTCTGTTAAGTGAGACCCATGGGAGCTTGAAACCCCAGCCCTCTCCCTCCACTTAGTATTTGGTACATCATGCCACTATCAGCCTCACTCCCACCTTCCCTACTCCAATCTTGCTGCACTGTGTATCACTCATCCCCCACCCCCTGCCTGGACAGCCCCCTGAATGCTGCTCCTCTGGGAACACCATACATACAGCAGCAAAGGGCTCCAGCTTTCAGGGGAGGCACCAGTACAGGGGCCATAGGCAGGCTCTGCTCCCAAACATTCGTGTGGGGCTGCTGATGCTGGTGGCATGCCTTCGGAGAGAAGCCTCTGTCTCTTGGTGGCCAGCTGGGCTCTCCCTTGTGGGAGCAGCACACCCAGTGTGAGGACCTCGCTAGCGCGCCGTGGCTGGCTGAGGCGCCGGTAGCTCCCATACAGCCCATAGGCTGCCTTGCTGTACACCACATCAGCAGGCAGGAGGTGAGATGACTTGCGGCGCAGGTAGCGTGGAGCACGCAGGAGGTGCCCCACGCTAAGAGGGCGTAGCACAGGGGGCCAGGTCTGCCAGGGAAGCAAAGCCTGCTGCTCATGCCTGTCCTGCTCTGCTTCCTCAGATCCGGAGGTGACAGTCTCTTCCCAGTAGGCTTCCTCCTCTGGGCCCTCCTGGGGTGACTCGGATCCAGAGCCCTCCTCATAAGGCAACCATTTCCCTTCCTCTTCCTCCCTCGTTTGGATGAGGCTGGCCAGTAGCATGGAGGGGCCCATGAGGTGGGTGTCGATGGCACGCATCTGGCCCCCATGCTTCTTCTGGACTGAGAATCTGGGGCTGACACATGGGGGAGTGGTGCTGGAGCGGCGCCGGGTGCTTGAGCTGCCCTTCCTGGGGGAGCCCAGGCACAGTGAGAGGCCCTGGAGCGGGGTGCTGGACCGGCAGCGGTGCTGGGCCAGTGAGGCAGAAGGCTGGCCCACCAATGAGCGCCGCCGGACCTTGCCAGTGGGCACTGCCACACTGGCACGCCGGGACCTCGAACACCCCTTCTTCCTGAAGTGCCTTTTAAAAAAGGTTTCCATAGTGACTGGGGGCACCCCAAACAGTGGCTGTTAATACAGAAACCAGCAATTAGATGGGTAAGGCCTCCTGCCATGGCTACATATCCTCATGTGCCAGAGGAGCTGTCCACAAAGCTCTGGGAGGGCTCAAGATAGAGCAAGGGGTGGACAACTATCCCAACCCACAGACAAAGGAGTTCCCTTAAAGGATGCTCCTGTCTCGTATCCTCTCCTGGGGGGCTTCTGGCTCTGGGGAAGACAGGAGGGAAGGTTGGGGGGAGTGACAGCTATGGTCAGGCCTCCATCTAGGGAACAGAACAGCAGATATGAGGAGCTGGTCAACAAGCTACTCACTCTCCTGGTGCAAGACAGCGGGGCTCAGATTTAAACAGAGACAAGGTTCTGCCCCTGGACCCAGTATGGGAATACTATGACATTGGGAAGGAGTCAGGCTGTAGGTCCCAGTCATGCCCCAGAGCAACAAATGGGTTACAGGCTGCTAAGCTGCTGCTCATCCAGGGTGTCCAAAACAGCATATGCCACCCCTCATTGGAAGAGAGGAGTCTGTACAGGGGATCCCACTCAAGTCCGGCCTGCTGGTCAGAAGGGCTGCAGAGAACACTCCCAGGGCAGCTTTCCACAGTGAAATGCAGAGCTCCTCTAGTCAAGCAGAGCAAACTGGCACACACAGACAGTCTGGGCCTGGGCACATATTCAATCTACCACCTGCTGGTTAAAAGGACACATGGGGCAGCTGGACAAGGAGAACACAAATAGCTGCAGAGAGACTCTGCAGGCCAAGGGCTCTGCTCAAAGGGATAGTCACCAACCCTTACACAAAGCTCAGGTTAGGAGCCAAATATTGAGCCCATGCACTCATCCCCTTTATGGTGGTGCCTGTGCTTCCCTCAGCTCAGTCCAGGGTGCTGCATTGGGTGGCATCACCCAGTTCCTAGTTCCCTCTGTGTCCCGTGCTTGTCCTCACAGGATCAGAGTGCTTCTAGCTCTTCTTCTGAGCTAAACTTTCACTTCCTGCTTCTCAGAAATTGACCCAAGCTGTTACTGACCTCCTGGCTCCCAGCACTGGAGGGAACTGAAGTGTTTCAATGGTTAACAAGGTTCTTTGGGTAAATGTGATATCTTTTATTAGTCCAACTAAATAGTTGTACAATTGTTCTTTGCAAACTTTCAGGTACAAACACCCTTCTTCAGGCAGAGGGAGTGTTTCAATGGCTAACTGCAGGCCACACTCACCCCCTTGTGGTCATCAACGGGATTGCGGCTACTTCCTATTAGCCTCTCTCTGCATAGAGCTTTGCAGGAAGAATTGTTTTGGTCCGCTTGTCTTTTGTAATTAAGGTGTAAATGCTGGACCAGATGCAGAGACATACTCACCAACAACTTTCCTTGAGCAAGGTGGGACAGAGACATAGTGCTGGGTGCCTTTAGTATAGACAGCTGGGAACTTCATGCTCCACTTGCATAGAGAAGACCATGGTACATTTATTAAGGTCAGGGATTATCAGGTGTAACTATGCCTATGTTCTACTTTCAGTATTTCCCATGCTCCTGGGCTTTTTTGGTTCCCACAAGAGGCAGGAAATGAATGTTTTCCCCTTCCTGCTACTACATGCATGTTGGAGGTAAGGGGAGGGAGGAGTTTGCCTTCCTTCAAAGCATTGGATGTTAGCTGCAGCCAGGATCAGGGATTTTGACTGGGGTGTACCAATGTTCCTGTTGGGACTTAAACCCAGAGGTTCCTGGCTAGAGAGTCTTGCCCCTCTGCTCAGGGTCAGACCTGGCTTACCCCACTGCCAGACTGGCACAGACTGTGGGGGGGTTTTACTTTCTTTACTTTCCTCTGTAGCAAGGGGCATGGCCCTCTTCTTGGGATCTCTCAAGTGCATTTTAACACCCTTGCCACAGCAGAGATTTGGCTGCCACAGTGACCCTGCTTTTATCCATGGCAGATTAAGGTGTTACCTCTTGTGGTTGGTGTCAGGGTTGGCCATCTAGTTCTCCTAATACGTTAAGACATTTGATTTGTATATGATGGTCTGGATAGGGATGATCCTGCATCATGCAAGGGGCTGGAATAGATGACCTCTGGAGCTCCCTTCCAGCCCTACTTTCCTATGATTCCTAGAGGCAGGTATGGTAACAGCTTCCTTCCTGTCGCTCTTGGGAAGATCCCTTGGCCACAACTGTTCCCCAGCTACTTCCCCCTCTTGCTACCTTATCCCAGTTGCCTACTTGTAAACTCAAGCACTTAAGTAAGATGCACTTAAATCTAGATATATCACAACCTAAGCACTCAAAAGTTTACAAGGAAAACACTGAGAGGGCAGAGAAGGTGGGGAAGAAGGTTCTTGCCAGGACCTGAGGAGCATGGAGCCTAGCCAGGAGATCTGGAGCAGAGCTGAGCAGAGAGAGGAAAATAATCCCATCTGTTCTGCTCCTGATGGAAAGAGCTTTAAATGACTCTTAAGCTTTCTCTGCCCAACACTCAAAGCTTGTCAGG